ACATTTTGAAAGTGTTGGAAGTGAGAGGAAAAAAATCAAACTATTTCTATTATGTATTCTATATCTAGTGAATATATATATAATCCTCACCTGAGGATATGTGCCCCAACCAGGATCAAACACATCACCTGTTGGTATATGTAATGACAGTCCAACAAACTGAACAACATGGCCAGGGAATCTAGTGAATGTATTTTTAAAAATTGTAGGTGGAATAAAGACATTTTCAGATCAATGAAAGCTGAAAGAGTAAGTAACCAGAAAATTGCACCAGAAGAGAAGTTAAGTGCTTCGGGTTGAAGAGAGATGAAAGCATATGGAACTTGGATCTATGGAATGGAATGAGAAACACAAAAATGATAAATGTGTGAATAAACAACAAACATGGTTTTCTCCTTCTAATTTTCTCAAAAGACATTTGATACCTCAAAGCAAAAAAACAAAACAAAACACATTTTAAGGTAGAGTTTATGATGAATGTCGAAGTAGAAGATGGGACGACAATGGCACTAAGGATGAGGGCAGGCAAATAGAGTCAGACTGTTAAAAAGTTACCCTCACGCATGGGAAATACCGTGAAGGGAGGAGTGTGAAATGGAGAATATGAGGAAAAAGTATGAAGTGTCAGAGGTGAAATGTGAACTGACAGCAACTCTAATGAGCAGTGAAGGTTGAAAAGCACTGCTCTAAACTTTCTTCTAGATGGTTTGATCTATTTGCAGAGCTTTGAAAGTCATCTCTATGCAGCCGTATCTCAACACAGATACCTGCATGTCAGATCTGTCCTCTCAAATCTAAACTCATATTTCCAGTTATCCACTTGATATAGTATGTGGCTCAATGGCATTTAAAACACAAACAAACCAAAATAAAATTCTTGATTTATACCCTTTCTTCCAATTTGCTCCTTCTTCAGTCTTTCCTATCTCAGTAAATGATACCAGCATCCACTCAGCTCAAATCAGAAATGAGGAGTCACTATGATTTCCTCCATTATGATTTCTTCTTCTCTCCATTCTGTTACATCAGCAAAACCTTGTTTCTATCTCCAAAATATGTTTCCACCACCCGTGTCTGGGGCAACCCCTATCTGAGCTCCTCCCTAGTCATCCCACTTCTGTTCTTGCCCCCATAGTGTGAATGATCTTTTTAAAACGCCAACAGAAGCCTAATGCACCATTGCTTAAATCACCTCAACGACTGCCCATGGCCCAGGAATAAAATCTATACTTTTACAATGGCCTGAAGTGTTTGGCCCCTGCTTCCCTCTCCTATCATTCTCCTCTCACTTACTACACCCCAGCCACACTGTCTGGCTTCTGTTCCACATTCCTATACCTGGGACTGGTGAGGTGAATGGCTCATAAAACATCAAAAATTTAAAAATAGGGTCAGTACCAGCTATACTGGAGCTTCAGACAAAAGAAAAGTCTGTAATACCAAATCTGCCCTCATTGAAAATATTGATATTCTCTTCAATATCAATATTTGATGATGCATCTTTAACCTTAAATTTGATTTTTTAATTTATATTTTTATTGAATTTCTTGGAATGACACTGGTTAATAAAATTATAAATGTTTCAGGTATAAAATTCTATAATACATCATCTGATATTGTATTATGTGTTCACCACCCCAAGTCGAGTCTCCTTCCATCACCATTTATCCCTGCCTTTACTCTCTTCTACCTCCTTCCTTCTGGCAGTCACCATACCCTTGTCTGTGTCCATGAGTTTTTATTTCCTTTGCTTAATCTCTTCACTCTTCTTGCATTAAAATATTATTTATCTTGATCACTGAGGTTTTTAGCACACCCTCCCTTGACTTTTGCAACCTCAGTGAGTGCCTCATGCTAGTCCCAGTGCTGCTCAAACCACCAAGTTCATTCCTGCTTCATGCTCTTTGCTCATTCTTTTCCTGCTGCCTGGAATCTGCCTTCCAGCAGGTCACTGCATGAGTGGTTTCTTCCTGTGCTTCAGGTCTCAGCCTACATGGCACCTCCTCAGGGAAGGCGATCATCCTGTCTTAACACTAATCCCACCTTACCCATTTACTGTTTATCATGTATAGTATTCTATTTCTTTTCTTCAAAGTGTTTTTCACAAGGTATAATTACTTGGTTTGCTTATCTGTTTACCTGTCTAATATTTGTCTTCCCCACTAGCATATACTCTATATGAGGTAAGGAATTTAGCATTATGCTCAGATCAGAGGAGTCATTCAATACATACTTTTAAAGTGAATTAATGAGTAGGCTAAGTCCACATACACTAGCATTCTTCCCTTCTCTTTCTGGTCATTCCTTTTTCCTTCTCTAGCTTATGAGAGATGAGATCATCCTGAAATAAATACCCATGAAGTCTTCTCTAAAAGCAAAACAAAATACAGAAAAGGGTTACATGGAAACCAAACCAACTTACAATAAGAAGGAGAAGGTGGATGATCATTCTATGAGGTCTGCCTCAGATTTATGTTTGTTCAGGACTTATGAATTAGTAATTATTTCCATGATTGCACAAAGGCTTTTAGTTATAACAATTGAATCCAATTAGCTGCTGAGAATATTTGGTACATTCGATAACTTAAAAAAAACCCTAGAAAGAAACTCTTATTAAAATTTCAGGATAGAGAACCTGGTTTCTAAGGTTTCCAAATTGTGTTTCTAAGATAATAAATCTGACTATATTTTATTCACTCAATAAATATTTATTGAGTGCCTACTGTACTCAGCAGTGCTCTTAGACACTGGGCACACAGCAATAAACAAGTCAAAGTCTTTGCTTTATGGAATTTAGCTTCTACTCCAGGAGACAGTAAGCAGGCAAACAATGCAGGAGAGATATTGCTACAAGGAAACCAAAGCAACATAAAAGGAACGAAGAGCACTGGAGAGGCTATGTTGATGGAAGGAACCTGTTTGGGGGTTGGGTAAGCAAAGGTGTCAGGATGAGACATTTGTGCAGTTGCCATTATGATGTTTTGCCTTGAGGTTTGATCTGTCTTATATTTTATTTCCAGGCATTTATGGGTTGGATTCTCTGGAAGCAGATGCTGAAACAGCCTTGGGGGGTGCATGCTATTGATTAGGATCAACACCTGTGGAAAGAAGGGAGAGGGAAGCAGATTTTGGCAGAGGGAGATACTGAAGTGTCACGCTGTGGCTAACTGTGTCTATCACAAAAGATTTCTTATAAAAGCATTTTCTTGTTAAAGTTATGTTCATCCAATTGTTAAAACAATCAATACACTGTTAAGTGAGTCATAAAATGAATATTTAATAAGTACCAACTATGTACCAAGCACTCTGAGAGGGACCGAGTGGGAAGGAGAAGCAAGTGGTCTGCCCCCATGGAGCCCTCGTGCCTGGAGGGTGAGACGTGTATGTGAATAATTTCAATTCCATGTGGAAATCGTATTTAAAAGGGGCTCTTGGAGTGCATGGAGGCCATGGTTAAATGATTTACCTGCAACTACATTTTGTAGCTAACTGACCTGGCAGGCTCATTGGTATGCAGCCTTCCTCAAAATCAAGTATTCTACTGGGACGCTATTAAAGTTGTATTTTGCAAGAGGCAGAAAGTTGATAACCCTGCCCTCCAAATCTCCCAAATCTAGAACAGCTCTTCCACACTTTATCATTCAGGACTCTTGGGCTTCAGCTGATTAGTTTTTGGAACATTTGAAAGAATAATAAATAAATAAAGCTTTCAGGTAAGAGAATAGGTTCTGTATTATTTTTCCACTTAAGCCCTCATAGTTCCAGCAGTTCACAATGAATAGATAAGTAATTTCCTACCCTTGAGACATTTCCCTGTAAAGAAGCAATGCATAGATGCTTGGAACATATTTATGTGTTACAACACAGTATATATAATTTATTTGTATTCCACTAAAGTCTAAAAGTTGTTTAAGAGGACCAATGAGACAGCCCTTTCCAACCTAAAAGAAACTGGAAAATTTTAAAGAAATGAAAAAAAGTGAAATAAGAAGTTGAATAGAAAATAAACTTACTGAGGGAAACTGCATAAAATTTGCATTTAGAAAAATACAGGAGCTTTATTTTAGAAAGGGAATACATCAACAATATAATTTCTGTGACTATTCATTTTCTATACATTTATTTTTCTTTCTGCAAATAATATACTCATTAAAGAGTTCTAGGACTAGTTGAAGAATATAAATATAAATACTACCCATAGTTTTACAACCAACAATAGCTACTCTGTCATACAGTCTTATTTCTGTGTGTCATGTGTTTAAAAATCTAGCATCTTTTCATGTCACTATGTAGTACAGAGGTGAAAGGGGAACTCAAGTTCTAGAACAAAAGAGTCACATAGCAGAGAAGCTTTATTTTGGTACCTGTGAGTTTCAAAAGTGACATGGCTGTGGAGGTCTTACATTGAATGTTGGCATTGCTACCTCTAGGCAGTCCAATCTATGTCGAGTGTTTGATTTCATAGGAGAGACTTGATTCATATTCAGAAGATTGCAATGTAAACTCATGTACTGGGAGCACCTGCACTTCTTTAGGGATTTCAGTTTTTAATTGAAGAGTGCAGAATAAGTTTGGGAACAAAAACCTTGTTATTGGAATTGTTTTATCTTCTAATCCCTATTTCTACTGGTGCCTCCCTGGGTTAGACTTATCTTTACTGAGAACCTCACAGAGCTAACTACTACCGCCTGGGAAGCTTGAGGCCAATCACTCATTGTCTGGTGAAATGCCCATTTTCCAAGCAATACAGTAAGTAAGTCCTTACTTAGCCATCCATAGGGTCTTGAAAACTGCAACTTGAAGAGAAACAATGTGTAATGAAACCAATTTTACTGTAGACTAATTGATACAACAGGTGTTATATTCCTAAGGCACATTTCTGGTCACCAAACTTCTAAAGGACCCCAAACATTTCTATTAGGAAGCATTTAGATAAGTGTGAGCTATTTATACATTTAAGAAAGATTAATGAAAAACAGGTAAGATCGTTTTTCATGAAGATGGCACAGAAAGTGAAGAAGGAAGCTTCTGCTCCTCCCAAAGCTGAAGCCAAAACAAAGGCAAAGAAAGCAGCGCTGAAAGGCACCCACAGTCACAAAGAAAGAAGATCCGCTTCTGAGGCCAAAGACACTTCAGCTCTGAAGGCAGCCCAGATATCCTGGGAAAAGCGCCCCAGGATATACAAGCTAGATCACTATGCCATCATCAAGGTCCCCTGGCTAACAGGTCAGCTGTGGAGAAGACAGAAGACAAGTTGTGTTCATTGCAGATGTCAAGGCCAACAAGCACTGGGTCAAACGGGCTGTGAAGAAGCTCTATGACATCGACACAGCCAAGGTCAATGCCCTGATCAGGCCTGATGGAGAGAAGAAGGCCTATGTTCAACTGGCTCCCAACTACGAGCTTTGGATGTTGCCAACACAATTGGGAGCATCTAATCTGAGTGTAGCTGGCTAATTCTAAACATAAAAATTTTACACTGTAAAACAAAACAAAACAAAACAAAATGAACCCCGACAAAGATAATGATTTTCCAGTCTGAATTGTGAGGTGGCAGAAGCCTATGCCAGCAGCTCAGGGGGCCAGGTGGTACCCACCCTGGATAGGACGCCCCTCCACTGCAGTGTGTACTCACACACCCCACAGTCACTCACGCTGAGACAGTTGAAACTCTCCTGTTCACCTCACGTGCATGTCTTTGGGCTTTGGGATGAAACTGGAGTCCCCAGAGAAAACCCATGCAGACGGGGGAAGTGGGCAAACCGCATGCAGACAGTGGCCTGGCCTGGGACCCATTTATTTTTTCCTCATCAATTATAATGAAATGATGTTAAATAAAATGTTTTTCAAGGACTTGCTGCATACAATTTTAGGCTAAGATAAATGGGACTTGTTAAAAGCACACACACAGAACATATATCTGTGGCTTTTAGAGATGATAACTGAAGAAAGATTGTACCTGCAAATATGCTTGACTGTTTGTCAACCCTCTAATATTCTTGGGTAGAATCCAATGCCTACATATGCACATCTGCACTTTTCCTGGGATGACATATTCGATGTGTGATCTTCGCACGAGGAACTGGAAAGCACAGAAATCGACAAGGTTTTCCAAGGTGAAAGGTGGACTTTACGTGGTGACTTTAGGGTTCGATCTGGACCTTTGCAGGAGACCGTACCAAGTTCACTTAGTTTTCTGAGAGATACAAAGCTACTTCCCTCCCCCACCCCTTGGCAATGATTTAAGTCCAGAAAGTACCTTTCCTGAAAAGCACTTTCTGAATTAATATCGTTTCCTATGATGTCACTTCTTTGTTGCTACATGATAAAAAGACAGCCAAAAGGTGATCACTATAAAGTCAGTGCTCCTGTTATCTTCATTACATAAGAAACAGAATGTTTTTTACTGTTTAAGTTGAATTTTTGTTGTTTTTCAACAATGTCAAAGTGAACTGAAATAATAATGAAATAGTAAAGATTCGGTTAAAATAGACTAGCTTGACTAGAGTCCATACGCTATCATTTGGGAAAGGACATTTATGGGAGCACCAATCCCCCTCAGTAAATAGACACCAGAGTCAAAACCTAAAACACACTCAGGTCTCTCCATTTCTTGAGCATGTTACACAGTCATGGAAAGAGACATGCTTCTCTAACATACTACAAACAGAGTAGAATCCATGACTTTGGAGTGATGGGATTACAATTATGTTAAAACCCACGAACCTTGCCTAATTTCCATTGCCTTCCACTTAATTAGGGATTTTCACAAGGTGAGAGGCCAACAGTTGACATACAGGTTAATTTCCTGTCCTCAGGCAGTTTGGAAATGCTGCTCCTGGAGGTGTGGAGAATGAGTGTGATTCTTTCTGCGGGAACAGCGTCATGCCCCCAGCATCTGCACGTGCAAGTTCACGCGTCCTACATCAGTCTCCACGAGACTGAATCTGGCCGCTGAAGTCAGCCGTCAGACTTTGATGAATGTGAAAAAGTATCTCTTCATCTATCCTCTTCATTTTCAACTATTCCAGCTAGAAATGAAGATTCAAGAATGGAAATATGAGAAGGGTTTAAAGGTGTTTTTCAGGCTGTATGCCAAAGCCTTGGTTTTGGGACCTTAACTATCACACTGTTTAAATGTAAAGGAGAGTGGAAATCTGACAGGGAGTATTTCCCCTTTGGTTATGGACATATTGAACTTGAACTAGGTCAGCACTCCCAGCATTTCGCAGGAGTATCCAACCTTTTGGAGTCTCTAGGACACACTGGAAGGAGAGTTGTCTTGGGCCACATATTAAATACATTGCAACACATGATTACAAAAAGATCTCATAATGTAAATTTTAAGTAAATTTACAATTGTGCATTGGGCCACCTTCATAGCCATGCTGGGCTGCATGTGGCCTGTGGACCACAGGTTGGGCACCTTGAATTTGATAGATTTTAAGTCACGTAACATGTATGTTCCCTCTGTAAGAAACAAAGTCGTACAACAGAATGTGGATTTTGTTTTCAGATGCTGTGAGAAAGGATAACAAAGATTTTAATTGCATACCTGTGTGACCACTTGCCACCCTTCTAATAACCTCAGGACTTTGTGATATTTGGGTTTAAGGTACATGAAATGATTTTACAAAATGGGATGGTTAGAGATTATATGAGGCAGTACTGCATTGTAATGACTTGGAGAATGAAACCAGAATAAAGCTCAAGGTGTTTCTTTTGGAATTTTCAACTTTGAGAATACCAATGCCTTTCTACCAGACTCTCAGGCTGAAATATGTCTCCTGGTGTGAGCGTCCGGGCCTCCAAGTGGCTGTCTCCCTTTTGGGCTAAGGGATGTTTGCTCATTGAAAAACCAGTTTTTAAGCTCCTGCCAAGAATAGGGCATTTCTCTATGCACTTTGAGAACACTAACTCAATGAAACAATAGAAAGGTTTGTGTCTAATAATGGGATCTGTGAGGATTTAAGTCTGGAGGAAGGATTGTTACCATCACCACAGCAGCTTGTTCTCAGGAAAGCAGGCCTACTTCTCTATTTCTAAGACCCGATGTGGAAGTTCAACTTTATTCTCACAGGTTGGGTCGATGGCTAGAATTATGGCAGATACAGTATGTTGCCTACTCAGCAGCTAACCCACCTTTTTCCTTGCTAACAGAAGCCTGTAGGGGTGGCAACATGCTCAGGTAAGGGGAGTGGCTCCTTCCAAACTCCCTAGGCTTCTGGGAAGTGCCTTTGTCTCTAGTAAGTAGGGCCAGCATACATCCCAGTTTTCCCAAGACAGTGATGGTTTAGGTGTTTTTTCCTGATAAAATGACTAATATTGGCTCTGGCTGGTGTGGCTTAGTTGGTTGGAGCACCCTCCCATAAGCAAAAGGTTGTGGGTTTGATTCCTGGTCAGAGCACATATTTAGGTTGCAGGTTCAGTCCTCTGGGCACCTACGATCTCCAGTCTGGGTGCCTACTTTCCCTGGTACCAGTGCATTGGATCCTCAGAACGAGTGCATAAGGGAGGCAACCGATCAATGCTTCTCTCTTTCACTGATGTCTCTCTACCTTCCTCTCTCCCTCTCTCTCTGAGAGCAATGAAAAAATGTTCTCAGGTGAGGCTTAAAAAACTACTAATATTGCCCTCTTTCACTTAAAAAAATCCAGTTCAAATGATAAATTATATGATCTTTAGAATACCACTGCTCTACCCTTGTTTCTGCCTCTGGCAATCAGAAGTGTGAGTATAATGCTTGGAGCTGAGGCAGCCATTTTATGCTTATGAGGCTAAGAGCCAAGAGAGAATCAGAGATTCAGGTCCAACTGATTGTGGAACTGCAGTATTCTGGATTTGACAGTAAAAGTGGAGGCTTGTCTTTCTTACTTAAGACACTCAGGGGAATAGTCTGTTACTTGCAAGGAAGGGTATGGAGGAAAAGAGAAACAGAAATGAAGACTTTCCATGGAAAGGGTTTAGAATCGTTTTTGGGTAATGAGTTATATTCAGTATTATTTTTCTCCATTCTTCTTTAGGAATTCTGGAAATTATACTTGGTCGAGAGGTAACAGTAGAAAATAGAAGAACCATGGTCTACTGCTCAGTGAAGAGGGGTGGAAATTGAAAAGAAGTAACTTTTTCTTACCTCCTCCAGTAGGTCCCTCTTGGGAGCAGTGGAAATAAATGGCAGTATGTCCACTGATAAAGGTTCTCACTTCCCACAGCTGAATCGTCCTGACCCCTGCCCATTTGTCACTAGCTAGCTCTGGGGACGAAACAATTTGACTTTGACATCACCAAAATTGCTATTGTCAGCATTTACATTTTCTTTGTAGTGGTGACATTTCTTGTGTGCTATTTCAGAAAAGGATATTATATAAGAAGCTCTGAAAACTGCTTTTGATTCTTTAACAAATGTATAGAAAACTATATTTCCATTTACTTGAAATCACTTCAGGAAAATAATGACTGAAACATAAAAATTTTGTATGGCTCTGATTGGCCAATGACTCATTAAACTAACCTATGTTCATGAAAAACAAACTGAAAATCCAGTTAAAGATTGTTTTAGCTAATCCAAAACATTAGATTGTTCAGGTGTCCTGCAGCACACACACATATGTATACGTGTAAATGCCTACTATATGCATAGATATACTTCTAAAGCAAAGCTAGTGACTTTCAAGGCAGAACATATGGGGAAAGGACACAATACATACAGTTCCTGGCACTGTGCCTGGCCCATGGTTCAATGGGATTTCCTTTCTTACTCTCTTCCTTACTGTATTATTAGATAATGATGTGATTCTGTGGGGTTTTGGCTTGGAAAGCCCCAGATGCTTACAAGATCATTTTCTTTGCTTTGCTTTGCTTTGGATAGCGCATCCTTCTAAGCTTTGCCTCTTAAAAAAGACAATATGGGTGGGTGTTGTGGGATGGGAGTAAAAGACAGAAAACTGTACTTGAACAACAATTAAAATAAAAAATTAAAAAATCAATAAAAAAATTAAAAAGACAAAGAAAAAAAATTTTAAATTTCTTCTCTAGAAGTCCTTGGAAATTTCCTTCAAGGTCAGTTGAAGAGTAGTAGGTCAGTCCTTGGGAATTGACTTGTCTGAATAAGTTTAATATCTTTAAATATCTGTGGTGATCTTCTGCAACTAAAGAATCAGTCTTCCCAGCACAATTTCCCATCATCTCCCTCGTGTTGGGTCCTGTGCCATCTTGGGCTCACCTCCACGGCAGGACAGACATCGTCATGGACAGCCCCCTCCATGGAAGTGAACAGAACGTCTAGTACTTGACACTTTCACTAGCAGCCTGAAAAAGTGCTCTGTTCACTATACACATGCAAAAATGGGTATTTTTTCTTTATATCCAAGTGGCAAATTAAAAAAAAAACTGGTATCTCATTATTATTTTAATTAACAGAGGGTACATTTTTGCTACTTTCCTTTTTCCTTTAAATT